CGAACTTCCTTCCTTGACAAAAATTCCATCTTTCGAAAAATATGGAGATGGAAAAGCCGACCGCTTTCTTGGTAAAATTGCACTATCCAGTTCAAATATTTCAGATTGTACGGCGGCAGTAATTTTTTCTTCTATGGAAATTGGCGTGTGCTGGCCGGGAGAAAAAAGTTGGAGCATCACTCCGATATTGGATGATAAAAAAAGTCTCCTTTGCGCCTTTTGTTTTCGTCCTTTCAACGACGGAGCTCGAAATTTTTCATCGGGTGGGCTAGCTTAAAAATTAAATCTTTCTGAACAAATAAACTTGATACTGCATTTTCAGCTAGCTTAAGAAAATTTTTGCAAGGTTAGCCAAGAATTTTCGTTATTCAAACAAATTCAAACTTGTACATGTACAAGAAGCGATGAGAAAAAAGATGTGAGACAAAAAGACGGTTTGTATACTGTATTATATAATTAAACCGAGAGAATTTGAATCAATGACTAAATATATGGTAGTCTACATTCGAAAATCAATAAAAATTACATGTAAAATTTTATTTTCTATCAAAAACTACCTAGGCTACAGCCCGGGGTAACCCTTACTGTGACTCCGCCAGTGCGTCCTGTGGCACGTTATATGCCTTGGTCAAAAACTTTTTTTCAGAAGTTTAAGAACAAGAAAGTCATGCACTATTATTCTTGTAATTCTTTTTTCAGAAGTGATTTTCGTACACTCCATTTCATTTGACACCCTACAATTTCTTTAAAACACCGCATAATCACAATTTCCCTATGTATAATTCATGCTCTACTGTCGGATCAGATCAACCGAATTTGGAGAGGCAAGGGTGCTACTTATTCTCCAGGTTGAAATTGTCTTAGAAGTTTCCGTTATTCCTAATTGCTTTTGATAACTATTCTCCCTTATTACATTTTGAATTTTCGCAAATTTGGTCCAATTTCTCAATTGAGAACTATATATATATACCAACAGCTCGTTTAGAAGTACTTTTAAAATAGTTGAAAACACTTTTTGTCATTTTAAAAGCACTTCAAGACGGATATGGATATTATCGGTGACAGTGGAGACCATTCAGTGCTCATCTTATTCTGACTAGAAAGATTAATTGTTCCAAACTTACCAATTGCTTGAAATATTAAGCAACAACTCCTCCCTGTGAGATTATCAGTCACGACTTCCCTTTGTTGCACCAAGGACGATAGATATTATGAAAGAAAATACAATTAACAGATCATATGATTCGTCTGAGGAAGCTTGGAATTCCACAATCGAAAAACTACGATGCTCAATAATATCAAGAACTTATCTACAAATTCATAAATAAAATCCATACACAATCTCTAGACGTTAGAATATTACAGAAGCAAAAATCAAGAACAAAAGCCGTACGAAACTAGGTAGAGTCATTTCCATCAACAGAGAAATTTGTTTAACGACAATTGCACGTCCTTGAACCCACTCTATATCCTAATATCGCACATTCTTTACAAATTCAACTTGACATGTCTTCGAACCCTTTTCAAATGTTGAAAATTTCCTGTACATCTCGTCTTCCGAACACAAAAATTTACCTGATCTTGGAGAAGTACGTGTATAAATAGTCATCCTACTTAAAACTTCGCCATTCTTCAACAAATACTTAGCAACTTCCATCTCATCTTGCTGACCCTTGAACTCCCTCATGGAGATGGTCTCGAGATGTGACAACAAACAAAGAGGCACGATGTCTGGTGGATTGTAGCCTGAATTCCATCGACGCTCATGTTCCTCCTTATACCATGTGTTGCCCTGCCAATATTTTTAAAAGAACAGAAAAAATAAGAATCGTTAAGAGCCGCATGTTGGAAATCAAGCTGCACAAGAGAAAGTGCATCTTACATTATTTTGAAAGACAAAATGTTTCAAGACAGGGCAATTGTTCAGAAATCCTGTTAGAAACTCCCAGTAATTGCAATTACGAAGAATCAGCTCCAGTTGGATTAAATTTTCAAAAGTAGGCAGATACGAAGCCTGCATGAAAAGTTATTGAAATCAAAAGTTGATGCTCAAACAAAATATACGAAATGCATAACATATTAGTTGAACTCGTAACATTCCAAATTTAAAGAAGAAAAGCTTCCAGTCACAACCACAATTAATGTTTGGTATCGCTGAAAGAACAATAAGAACAAGAAAGTTTAAGAAAAATGGTAAACAGGTGAAAGCAACCTAGGGCGTAGTTACCTTCAAAATTGGAACCGAAACAGAGAGATTTCTAACATTGGAAACTCCTGCTAGCAATTTAGTTGCACGATCAGCAATGTGGCGAGAATTTTCGTCTACATGCCTGAAAAGAACTTTTGCTTCGACTAGAGATTCTTCATTCTCCAAATCAATATATGAGAAAAAATCGCCAGCCACAATTGCTAACTTTACAAGATTTGGAGCATTAATAAAAAACCGGACACGATCATCGTCCCCAAAATTACGTTTAAAGTCATTGCCGAACCATATCCTTAACGTCTTCAATCTAGGTGCAGAGATGTTTACATTTGAAACTACTACTTTTGAATTTACATCTATACTCAAATCTTCAAGTACAGGGCAACAAGAAAAAAGATTTGCAACTGATTGATCAAGTTTCATTACATAGACATTTAGGACCTTGAGACTCGGGAAACACGCTGATGTAGGAGGAGCATAGGTAGTAGAAGTTGACGATACCTTCAAAATCTCCAGTGTTTTGCACAAGAAGAGGCTTTGAGGCAACTCAAATCTTTTGCAATCGTAATCCAAAAGATCAAGATCAAGTTCAACAACATTGTGCCTAAGAGCAGTGCAGATCCAACGATAAATATGAATGAAGTGCTCCAACGTTGGTCCTCTACAGTGTTGCCTATGCCTAGAAAGTTTAAAACTGAATTTTTTTATGTCTGTTGAGTCATGAAGGAAAAGTACACGATCAACAAACGTCATAAAACGATTGAATTCAGTCCATGAATGATTGAACCCCTCGTCATTAAATTCAAGTTCGGGAAGAGAAGTCCATAAGTTCTTCCATCTTCTTGACAGAATGGTAGTCTGCACAGCATCTAATATCGGAAGGAACGAAAGTATGTGGCAAAGAAGTGAATTTGGCAATTCACTGATCCTGTCAACTCCCTCTTGACACTTCGATTTCAAATTCATTGGCTTGTACCCTGATGGCTGATAAAAAAGATTACTGAGATCACTACTGTGTTCTACCTAGCCTTGATAACTTAGCAAGTCTTTCAATGTAAAAATTCAAAAAAACTAAAGCAAATGAAATCGATGGTAAAATTTTAGACGTATAATAAAAAATTGGGGAATTTTATAAGAACAAGTATTATATATGCAAATCCTTGGTTATGCAGGAAATCAAAAGAATATCCAATAAAACATCCTTGTGAACAACAGAGTCACCTTCAAACAAATATTTAATATATGTGTATATATACGTTATATATATATATATATATATATATGTATGTATGTATGTATGTATGTATGTATGTATGTATAAGAAAACAGACTAAACAAGTGAAAAAGTTAAGAAGAAGAGTACCTGCTGACAAAAGCTTCTAAGATGGCCCTGGAAATGAATGATTTTTTTGAATTGAATCAAGAGTCTGGACTCAGACTTTGATTTAGAGAGAGAGAGAGAGAGAGAGAGAGAGAGAGAGAGAATATTGAGTCGAAAAGTTCATATGTTGTACCTAAAGAACAAAAACCCATCGAAAATCAGAAACCCTTACCTTGATTTTGGGACTTGATTCGCGTCGGCTTCGCGTCGGAGAAGATGTGCTTACTTCTCTCTGTGTGTGGCTTGCTTGTTGCTGGCCGGATTCGCGTCGGAGAGGGTGGACGGAGGAGCAGCGTCGGAGAGGGTGGGTTTCAGTTTGAGTTCGCAGACGATTCGAGAATGAGAGAGACTGAAAAAGGTTCGGGGAAAAGAGTAAATTGCAAAAATGGTTAGATCAATTGGAGCAATAATCAATTAATTAAAAATATATATCCATTATTATTGGTCCTTTAATGTTAATTCAATCGGAGAATTGGTTCCTCAATTTTAATCCAATTATAGCAATAGTCCTTCCAACATAACTCATTTTGACAAAATTCTAAGAAGTTAACAAAAATAACCCTAACTACACGTTTTGATGAGTTGGAGGGACCCCAATTGAAGCAATGTTTCTTCAAACATAACTTATTTCGACAAAATTCTAACGAAATTGACGAAAATGATCATAACTACATATTTTCATGAGTTGAGGGACCAATGGTAATGAATTTGTAGTTGAGGGATCATTGCTCTGATTTGATTAAGGTTGAATAATCATTGCTACGATTTACTCCAAGGGAAATAGAGACCTAATTTACAGTGGATGGTTGAGATTAAATCTTAACCAATCCAACAATCCAAGTTATTTGTAATTATAACCATAAATAAATATATATATATATATATATATAATATTGAAAAAAAAAATTTAATATAATATTCGGTTCAATTCGGAATTACCCAACAATTTCATAGAGAAGCCCGAATCCCAAACAGAAACTTTCAAGATCGGTTCGATTTTGAGAATTTTGATTCGAGTATTTTTCGATCGAATTTCGGGACGATTCAGGATTTTTGAGAATTTTTTCCATCCCTAGTTGTATGTGGGGTTTGCGTCCCTGCAAAGTATTCTGTCTTTTATTTATTTTTTGTCGTAGAAATAGTAAAATACTGAGCTTTGCATTCTCTCGCTTTTCTCCTCTGTTTCTCCTTTTCCTCGACATCATCGTCAAAATCTCTAATTTTCTCGCAACCTTGTTTAAATCTCATCCACGGGAACACGCACACACCAATCATCACGTCGTTTGTCCCACGCCCATATATAAATGTTCTAGGACTGCTAGAAAGCCATTGACACACACATACTTTAACGTTTTGGTTGGAGTGCTGACAAAGAGATAGCATCGTCAAATCTTAATCGTCAAGATACGGTAGTGAATTAAACAAGTTCAAACAGTATGTGATAACTCATAAGCAGATTGATATCCATGTACAGGCTTCCCAGAGTTTGGACTCACGTATAACATATCAATCATACAAGCTATAAAACTCCTCCCTGTGGGATTACCAGTCATGACTTCCCCTTGTTGCACCTAGGACAATAGCAATTGTTGCAAGAATGGCCTGAACATAAAGCGGTATTAGACGAAGGTACTAGCGCCGCAAAACAAGACAATTAGACCGGCAATGAGGCAAGTATTTGAAGAACAAAAGAAACTTGGAGGTAGATAAAACATAAGTTGAAAAGTGAAAGGACATAAAAGTTACTTACGCCAAGTGTACAAGCGATATATCCTGGTTTCTCACGGGGGTCTATCCTGGCGCAAAGTAAGATGAATGCACCAACATACCAGGGGACGGTAGCTAGGAAGAAACCAATGATGAACCTTCAAAAGAAAGAGCTTAAGTTTAAAAATATTCATTGATGTTATAGAATGCTTAATAGTTTCAAGATAACAGAAGGAGAAAGCACAAATTATGGAAGATATAAACTTAACAGATCCTATTGTTTTCTCAATGAAGCCAGGGAACTGATCTTAGTTTTTTGAAGCAATGAACAGAAAAGGCGATCATAGTCAATTGTATTGAAATGAGAGTAATGTCAACTAAAGCACTATCTTTTTTGGTTCGGCCGCGAATCCCATTTCTCGTGCTACTTGAATTTCTGCGAAACTCAATTCTTTCACACCTTTGCACATGAGAAATGTTTACTTTTACGTCACAATTGTGTCCATCAAATTCAACCTATTCCATTTTTGACAATTGCCAAAACAGAAACGACTCTGCACAATAAAATCAAGAGTTTTCCTATTGATGTTGTAGATTTCTTGTCAGCTTTCATGTTCTAAGTTCTATAAGTTTTTTAACACCGCGAAGCACGATCAGCATTTGAATTTCTTGATTAAAGGTTCCAGCACTTAAATATCAACCTACCATGCTAGACTAGTTGAAAATATCAGGGTCAATTTAAGTCCTAAACCCATACATCAGGATTGAAACATTCAGTTTTCATATAATTACAGAACAATGCATAAAGGTAATATCGATCAACTTGTGCAAAGCTATTTAAAATTCAAAGCAGTAAAACTTACAGGCACCAGCCAAGTCCACAACCACAGCAAGGAAGGCGACGCTCTCTTACTGGTCGTCCCTCAGCAACTGCATAGCCTAGAAAAACAACAGAGCAATATAGTTAGATGTCTAATAAACCGACATCTATGACAACCATTCATCATTCATTAAGATCTGTGGTGAAAACGCACATCCAGCTAAAAAAAAAAAAAAACAGAAAATGTAACACGAGCAGCAAACATACAGAATCAAGTCATTCAATTACGAAATTCCCACTCGTAAAACAACAACATTAATCCCCTAATCACACCATTACAGAAATGATCTAATCGCTAGCAGCGAACGAAAACGGGATTCTTGACATAGCCAATAACTGAGATGTTATTAACACCATTGTCTTTACTTGTTCTGTTCATACAATCAAAAGGGTTGTTGTTGCAGTGACTGAAAAAGTCAACTAATTCCAACACACAAAGACAAATATTGAATTCGATCCGATCTTGTAGCTTCCAATCCCACCATAAAATACACAAAAATCCCATTTTTTTAATCTCATGTTTCACTAATCAAGATCACAAAGTATCATCATCATTCAAATTTAAGTCACCGGGCTACTACAGAACAAGAGATAGAGGCTCAATTGCATACCAGGAACGGTTTGATATCCATGAGTGTAGTAGTCAGGATGAGGCGCTGAAGGGCCACCAGCTCCCGGCGGCGGCACAGGCTGAGGGAACCCGGTCGGCGGAGGGTGATGCGGGGGAGGCGGTGGTGGGTAGTTGGCTACTCCTTGGAACGTCCCGTACTCGGGGGGTGGAGGCGGATAGCGGTGATGAGGATCACTTGAGACTCCCCTCTTCTGTTCGTCTTCGCTCATATTTTCTTGTAATAATCGTTGATTTTCGAGTTTTTTGTGTTGTGTGATTTGGATTTGGAGTTCGGAGTTTTGGTTGCTGGAAGTTGGAACTTAGGAGTTAAGACTTGGAGATTGATTGCGAGGTGGGACCGTGGGATCTGTCGGAGTCAACAAGTCAATTAGATTTATTTTGTTTTCACGTTGGGCATGTGATATTGCAATCATGTATTAACGACAACTCATCTACAAAGATAGATTAGATCATTTATTTTAGGGGTTTTTAGATCCAGGTCTACAAATGTAGGATGTTTTTAGGAATGAGTTCAGTTATCTAATTATATGTTTTTATTTTTTTTATACTCATTTTATTTTTTCTAAAAATATTAAAAATAAATTAAAATCTTCTAATATTATGCATTTTCCAACTCCAAAAGAATATATTTAATATCTTATAACAAAAAAACTTATATACTAACATAAATTTATCTACAAAACATTCTACCCTAACTCAATTAACAAATATAGGAATGTATATAATACATATACGTGAGATATAAAACCTAATTAAAAAGTAGAAAAAAACATAACATACCTACAAGTAAGACACATTAATCTACAAGTAAGACACATTAATCTGTGACAGGTTGATTATAAACAAAGAATCTATCATATAAGTAAATAAATATAATTAACCTGTGATATAGGTTGATTATAAAAATTAAAAATAAAATCTATAAATGGGGTTTAAAGTAGGAGGAAGAACGAGAAATAACAAAGATAAATAAAAAGAAATAAGCAAATAGATAATTGGGAAGAAATTTGATTTTTATAATAAATCTTATCATTGAACAGATAACTAATCATAATTAAATAATTAAATATAACAAATTGGACTTATTTTAATAAACTGGACTATTCCTACTATTGGCTCAAAAAATTGGACTTATATCAAGTTTAAGGTTGTGCTATCCACATGATTCATTTTACTTTTTACAAACTTCAAGATAATTTTTGTTCGTTAATTTTCTTCAATTCATTCAATCTGATGGTAGAAAATTAAAAAGGTATGTGAGGAGTAAAATGGGACGTGTGGATATCACATCCCTTTATTTTATTGTGAATTTAAAACCATCATGTTAAGTATGTTTCATTTCATATTTTAACACAATAATTAACGGATTAAAATTAAATTTATTTTAATTAATTGTAATCTTTCTCAACCAGTCCACCATGGTTTGATTTATGTCATCCAATGATCAAAGACTTATAAAAGTCTGTGGAATCCAATTTTTTTTTTTTTTTTTTTTACTTTCTCACGAAAAATAGACAAAAAGATTACCTTTATTAACCAATAAATTAAAGAATTATTTTAGTTTCTAAGAAAAAGTTATTTTTGAGGAGGCTTGATTTGGCCTTGGATGTTAATAGTTATGCCTTATCCTACTGTGGGCTCTTCCGCTGAAGATTCAATGGGCTTGGGCAGCCAAAATATCCAAAACAAAAGCAAAAAGAAACAAAAAATTTGTGTTGCACATCGAGGAGCAGACTGAACACTATTTGGTAGACAAATTTCAGCAATCCGAAACTTCTCCTCAAAGAATTAGGAGCAACGACAAATTACAATTTTTTTTCAACTTGTTCGAAGCAACCAAGAAGCCGAAAACAAATCCGAAAGATGAAGGTATGAGCCAAAAAACCAAAATAATGGAACAAGTTTTACATGATGCAGTTGGGATTCGAATTGATAATTAAATTTGTTTGTTCAGAACACCGCTTACATAACTTGCCTAAGCCAAGTCAACAATAGATGCATGAAAAAGAGGGACCTTATTATAAAAAATCTAGCAGTTAGTCAAATATAAAGCTGTGGAGAAAACCACTTTAAACAAGCTATATGTATAGATGTTGAGATGACAATTAAATAAATATACGATCACTTAAAAAAGTACACATAGAATTCGAGATTATAAAATATTCAGTTTGAAGTAGATTCAATTATAAAATACACAATGCAGTCCTTCAATTGATTTAGAAAAAGAAAGAAAAACTAAAAAACCTAATGCGTGTGGAATTGTGGAAACATCACATTATCTGCTTCATTATATTAATGCAAACAATGTGATTATGCGTGGGGTTTGCATAAAGAAAATGAAAGCAAAGTTGTGCAGAGAATTAAACGATCGAAAGGTTGGTCAATTCGTTTATGATTTGAAGGTCCATGTATGCGCCACTTGTTAGATTAAGACATGATTGTCCCTACGTGATATGTCGTGAAAGGTGACGGACTTTTATGTTGCAGGTTGCCCACTCCACCAGATCCATTCCAAATATTATCCATCTGCCGACAAACGTTGGACTCGGACAAACCTAGCTATCCAATAAGACAAGGCAGTTTCACCTGCATGCAAGCATATATAAATTAGGGTTTAAGGTTAAAAATAATGAAAAGAGTTTGAAAATTTGTGTTTTAATGAAAAAGAAAAAATAAAAGATAAAGTGAACAGTACCATGATTGATTTTTTAGTGTAAAAATGTAATTTTTCGTTAAAGTAAACAGTATCATGAGCTTTCATTAAAATTTCCTTAAAATATTGTAATCTTCGTTCTTGAATGTCGAGGAGGATGAAGAAATCTACACCTCGGGCTACCCAAATTTATCCAATCGCATGGAAAGTTTAGCTTTAGTGAAACAATCGATCGATACTTGTAGATTTTTTTCAAGTACTAAATGCAAAATCAATATAAAATACTCTCAGCACCATCGACTGCGAGAATGAGAGAGCCAACTTACTCTGTCAAACTTCACATTTGTAAAAGGCATGTATAAGTATTTATCTCTACATTTATCAATAGTAAACTATATATTCTTTTGATGAGGAAGGCCGAAGAAACTCTCTTAAGCTGAGGAGACTCTCAAAGTGAGGTTTTTTACGAACTTTCTATCATTTCATAGTTTAATGTTAATTTTCGTGCTAATATTTTAAAATATTATTTTAAAAACATTAGATAACAGATGGGAGATAGTTTATGGAGAGTCTACTTTTGGAAGAGTTTCCTTACATTTATCTTCTTTTGATAGGATGTAATATTTTAGAAAACATATAAAAGTTATTTATATGATACATTGTTAGTAAATAATTCATTAAAAGGAGAGATAACAAGTATAATAATCTATCAATAATTTTACTTCATTGTTATCCCAAACAAAGTGAAAACTTATTTAGAACGAAATATATTGAACATAAACACTATAACAGAGCTAAATTATTTTATTTCGACCAAAAAAAAAAAAAAAAAAACCAACTTATTTTACATAAGTTGCTTCTAATACAGAGAAAATTTTCATTGCGGATGGTACACTACGCGTTTTTATATAAGTGGTGAAAAATTGTATTTTTTTAGTCATTAACTTTTTAACACACATATCTCATCATTTATATAATATCATCCCGTGTTCCGATCACATTGAAAAATCTCTTCCAAATACAAGAGACTTGCCAGTTTTTTATTGCATCTCTCCATTATGATCAACCCAATTGCATGTGAGGTTGATACTCCAAGCACTCGGGCCGACTCATCAAAGACTCGGGCCACTACCTGATATTTCTAAATATTTATTTTGACATTTATATTTATATTTGGTCAAAATTACGAGATTATATAATATAAATTAGTCCTAAACCGTTGCAATAAATTAATACAATGTCAATTACGTGTTTAGACTTACTTCATCATATAATACACTCGTAATCTAAAACGTTGTGGGTTTGTGTTTTGATTCCAAAATCATTTTACAAAAATTCACTTAAAATCGATATCTTGTAGTTATTAGGGAAATTTTATTTAAACCCATGTAACTTATTTTTACATCCAACTTACTCTTTGCACTCATTTGATTTTAACTAAACTATTAATATCTCTTTAAACTCAAATTCATTACCTATTATACCCCCATGAACTCAATTTAATATGTAGATTTTTCTTTACACCCATTTGATTTTTAACTCTATGTTTACACCGTCTGAAAATGAACACTGAAAATTGGGGTGTGAATTTAGCTATGGCTGACAACAAAAATGACACTTCTATAAATGTTGACAAAAACCATATATCATCATCTCTCCCTTCGCATTATCGATCAACGAGTGCATTGTTCTAGTTTTGTTTTTCTCTTCAATTTCTCCCCTTTTTATTTTTTAAATCGGTAAAAGGCCATATATGAAAGGAGATTGGAAGTTTGAATAAATTGATGAGCTTAAAATTTATTCATGATGATTTTTGGTTAATTAATAAATTAGGTAGGGTTTGAGGTGATTAGGTTGTGTCTTATTGAAGTTGTTTTCTTTTATGATTGGGGGGTTTCACATAGTTGCAGGCAGCTACAGAAACAAGAAAATCGGCGCAAAAGATGGAAAGGACGAGAGAGAAGGTGGTGGTAGTGGTAGTGGTGGTAGTGACGGATCGCTGCACGTGAATCAGGAAGAAGCATTGAATTGGAGTAAGAGCTATGCAGGGACTCCTCCTTCAATCAATCAATTTCAACATGCCTTCTAATATTAATTGAAACACTTTCTTTCTTTTTTTTTTGTTGAGTGACTGCAACAATTTGCTGTTGCAGAAAGATAAACAAACTATGTGGGATTTATTGAAAAAAAAATAAAACCAAAATACTCATCTTCTAAACTCTAAAAAAAATGAAATCAAATGAACAAAAAATTCATAAATTGACTCATACCTTGGTTGGAGGATTCAAAACTTCAAAATCACCATCTATCAATAAAAAAAACTTATTTTTCTCTATGAGAGCAATTAGGGTTTTAGCTGGAATGAACATAGAATAAATAAAGAGTGATCGTAGGATTTAATTATAGTGTTTGGGTTTATTGATAAATTTGAGTTTTAGTATTAATTTCATTTTGTACTTAATAGTAATTATGCAATAGGGTACAATAGACAATTAACATTTAAAATTTAAGTTGGGTGTAGAAAGAAGTTACATGGGTTTAAGTAAAATTTCCCTAGTTATTATTGCCGTATTATATGAAACTCTACTAAAACTCCATCAAAACACAAACCCCGATGAACATGCGATGCGCAACCGATGAGTGCAACGCAACGAAGAGTTCATCGGAAAGGAC